TCATCATGTCTCACTCTCCAAAGCGTCCATGCCTCACATTTGAGCCAGACTTTTGGGCCCAAAATGAGATACAGGACCTGGTGGTAGCACAGGATCCCACAGCTGAGGAGGAGGATGATATCTCCTCCATTTCCTCATGTTCTTTCACCTTCTCCTACCCCTCCACCTCCTCCTCCTCCTCCTCCTCCTCGTCTTCCTCCTCCTCCTCCTCTTCTTCCTCCTCCTCCTCCCCACCTTCCTCTCCTGTGATCCCAAGCATCACGGAGGAGGAGGAGGAAGAGGAGGGAGAGGAGGAGGAGGAGGGGGAGGAGCCTGCCGCTGTGATGTTGAGTCCTCCTCAGAATCCTCAGAGCTCCTGCTCCTGCTCCTTCTCCTCCATGTTATGGAGCACATCAGATGAAGGCTTCAGCAGCCAAGAAGAGGAGGATACAAGCTCCCCGCAGACCTCAACAGATACTGAATCCTTGCCCAGGGACTGGCTAGATCAGAAGGTGATGGATTTAGTGCATTTCATGATCCTCAAGTATCGATTGAAAGAGCCCATCACAAAGGCAGAAATGCTGAAGATTGTCATCAAAAGGTACAAGAAACGATTTTCTCTGATCTTCAAGAAAGCTTCTAAGTGCTTGGAGGTGATCTCTGGCCTTGACGTGAAGGAAGTGGACCCCACCATCCACTCCTATGTCCTTGTCAACTCACTGGACCTCACCCATGATGAGATGCTTAGTGACAACCAGAGCATGCCTAAAAACGGCCTCCTGTTAATCATCCTGGGTGTGATCTTCATAGAGGGCAACTGTGCCCCTGAGGAAGACATCTGGGATATCCTGAATACGATGGGAGTGTATGCTGGGAGGGAGCACTTCATTTATGGGGAGCCCAGGAAGCTCATTACCAGAGATTGGGTGCAAGAGAATTACCTGGAGTACCGGCAGGTGCGTAATAGTGATCCTGCACGCTATGAATTCGTGTGGGGTCCAAGGGCCCATGCTGAAACCAGCAAGGTGAAAGTTCTGGAATTTTTGGCCAAGATCAAAGGGACTGACCCCATTTCCTTCTCCTGCTGGTATGAGAAGGCTTTAAGAGATGAGGAAGAGAGAGCCCGGGCCACAATTGGCCCCGTGGATAGTCCTACTGCCATGTTCATTGCGCAGCGTTGGTCAGCAGCTTCTCCTGCCCCAACTGAAGAATGAACCCAAATCTTCACTCTCTTTGAAAAGGGCAGTCAAAGTTCTAAGTAGAAGAGGGTCGGGGGTCAGGCTGGGAAAACAGAGTGTACAACGGCTTTGTGTTCCCGTTCTGTGTGGGTGACTTGAAGGTTTATCTTTTTTTTTTTTTGGATATTTTTCAAATGCTGTTCTAACAGTTTCATTAGCTTTAGAATCTAAGTTTATAAATGACATTGCTCACACATTTATTGCTTTTAATCAGGTTTAAGAATAAGAGTGTTGATATTTTGTAAAACAAATTGTATTTTGTAAAACAAACCTTCCATCTCCTTTTGTGATCTGGAACAAAATAACATGAAATTGGAATAGAAATTTCCTTTGAAATATGAAAGAACTCAGCAGAAAATAGAGAAAAAATGTAAAGAGTGGTTAATTTTTGGATTCCCTTAACCACTTTAGTCTATTGTTCTGTAACATTAAAAGATATATACCTGGATTTGCTTGGCTTATTCAAGAAAGTTAGGAGTAATCTGAATTAATCTTAATAAATGAAAGATCCTGTTCACTGACTCGTTTATTCACCAAACATTAATTGGGTATTTTCTCTTTGGAAAGCACTGTGTTAATCGTGGAAATACTAGGATAAGCAAGACACACCCCTACCCCTAGAATGGTAGAGGCTGGGAGCAGCAGTCGTATCAGGAAGATGGTGAGATGTCCTCTAGGTGGGACTCCAGATGTGAGCAGTCAAGTGGAAATACCCTGAGCCAAGGCAGTTTGGGGCTTTGGGAAATTGCAATTCCTTCTATGGGAGTTAATTATAAGTTAAGCCGTGGGTGGTGGCAGGGGCCAGAGTCTCAGATGGTGTGTTCTAAAGGTGAGAGAAAAGCCTGGAAATGAAAACTGCTTAGTAGTTACTTTTGGATCGTGGATAAACCAGAGAGAAATCCCCACCTGGAGCAGGTACGGAAGGTGTCCTGAACTCCTGTCCCAGTGCATGAAATAGGTGTTGTATACACATATCTGCAACGATTTCTTGAGAAGGGGGTGATACTGTTACCACACCAGGTCCGCTTTTGCCCGCTGCCCAGAAGCCAATCACCGAGACGTCGAGATTGCAGAGAGAGAGGGTTTATTATTCACAAGGCAGCCAAGTGTGGAAATGGGAGAATGAATCTCAAATCCGCTTCCTTGAAAATAGGGACTCGGGTATTTATGGGGAAGGGGCAAGGTGGTCTGAAATGATTGGAGGTTGGGAGAGATGAGGTAATTGATGATCTGTGCAAGCGTAGTCAGGCTTCAAGGCTCTTCGTAGGACTCATGGTCACAGAATGGCAGCATTAGCATGCCCTGAGGGTGGGGTTCCAACCTGTTGTAGTCAAAAGGTCGCTTATCGGACACTTGTCTGCTTCGGCCCAGTTTATGGGTTGGTGGTCTCAATCTGGCCTGAAGCGGACGAGGGGTTCAGTTCCTGAAAAAATAGCTCAAACACCCATTACCATGGTGACCCCGGCTCCAGGGGGATGTTATCTGTAGGAACTTAGTGGGAGTCAGATAGCATATTACCTAAACAGCACAGTTAACAATGGGTAAGTTTATCATGCAGATTTAAGTCCTCATCTTCTGTTCTGATAAGTTTCTAGGTAAGGCCATCCCCCTCTTCTTCCTGGTACAGGGAAGAAGATACCTCTACAAATGGAGATTTTCTTTACAAATGTAAATGTCTCTCATAAAGGGTAACCAGAACTAAGAAGGGGCTTAGCAGACCCACCCAGGTACCTGGAGGTTGTCTATGGTAATGGCCTTTTCTGGGGGCAGGCCTCCCATCCCAAACTCCTTTGGTCAGTTAGTGGGGGTGGGGGTCAAAATGTCATTCAGGCAGAGACATATTTTGAGTTGGCAAATTCTAATCCCCCGTAGTTACTAGCTGCTTAATCATCAATAGCCGTTTGCCGGTTTCAATAGTCCCTTGAAGTATACCCAGAAGCCACTAGGCTGGCACCCTTTTCCGTGCCTGAGAGAGCCAGAGTCTGCTCCATTAAAATGACATGAAAGATAGGTTATCTTGAGTGTAATTAAGCCACATGGAAGCAAGGTCTAGGTTTTGGTGGCAGTGAAATGAATGAAAATAGTATTTTGGATGGATGAGCAACTGGAAGGGAAGAAAGAAGTTGGTCTTTGACTTAAATTCTAGAAACTTGGAGTTATATCAGCTGGGGAAGATTAACCCATACCCAAATTAATATATCCTCTAAGAGGAAGAATTTAATGAGTTTTATTTGTGAAGCTGCATTTTTGCCTGATTTGATAGTCTGTCTCCTAGTTGAGCTGCATATTTTCTGAGATGTCCTGGATAAGAACAAAATCCCAGAGGAGAGGGCAGTAGGGTCTGGGGACAAAATAACATTAGAAATAACTGCCATTCATTAAGGATCCAGTAAGTGCCAGGCACTGTGCCAGATGCTTTTCTTACTTTACATACTTTCCAGCAGTCCTACAAGACAGGGCTTCTCAAACACATTTTACAGATGAGGAATCTAAGGCTCATAGTGCTTGGTAATTTACCCAAGATTATACTGCTAGTAAGTGACAGGGCTGGGACTAGAACCCTGGTCTGATTTCAACTGGGGCCCACGTTGTTCCCACTTCTAGCCTGAGGCAGGTCTTCTGTCTCTTACTCCATTTCTCTTCTCAGTACTCCATAATGTCTCTCAGGGGACAAAAAGAAGGACCATGTGACAAGATTCTAAAAGCAGGCCTAAAGAAGGAAGGGAACTGAGAATAAAACATAATTTGGGGATTGTCTGAGTTTATTTGTCTAGGGCCCTCCTCTTCTGAGCCCTAGGATACCTTAATAGCTGACTCTGCCCATCTGCTGGTATTTGTGTTCAGTCCTAGCAATTTCCCGAATTATAGCACCCTCCCCCTGATCTTCCCCAGTGTGCCCTCCTGTCTAATGCTGGAACCTGGCCTGCTGACCAGCTCTTCACTGTCTCCTCCTCTGAAGGCTGTGCCCTGCTCCCAGTGGACAACCCAGGACCACCTGTTTTCCCCCTAACAGAACATTCCTACTCCCTGCAGAAGTTCCCTGGCTGTCCCATCCGTCATTCTGGAGCCCTGAAAGCAACAGCTCCTTCGACTTAAAAGTTCAATTTGGACAGTGTTGTTTAGACTGATCTATAGTGAGTTGAATGGTGACCCCCCAAAAGATATGTCCAAGTCGTAATTTCCAGTATCTGTGTATGTGGCCTTATTTGGAAATACAGCCTTTGCGGACGTAATTACGTTAGGAATCTTGAGATGAGATTATCTTGGATTTAGGGTGCGCCCTAAATACAATGAATGGTGTACATATAAGAGAAAAGAGAGGGAGATTTGACACACACGCACACACACACAGAGGAAGGGGATGTGAAGAATGCAGGCAGAGATTGGAGTGATACATCTATAAGGCAAAGACTGGCAAGGGTTGCTGGCAATCACCAGAGGCTAGGAGAGAGCCTCTCTCCAGAGATGGAGTTCTCTCTCAAAGTCTCCAGAAGGAACCAACCTGCTGATACATTCATTTTGGACTGTTTGCCTGCAGAACTATGAGAGAATACATTGCTATTGTTTTAAGCCAGCCAGTTTGTGGCAGTTTGTTACAGCAGCCCTGGGAAGCTAATACACGGTCATTCCCCCTAGGTGTATTTAACAAACTCTCAAAGTGTTTTCCAAATGGGCTTGTGAGTAGAGTTTGATTTGGCACACAATCTACTGGCTATTGGGAGATAACTGGGTTAGATAGATTATTTTTGAAACCAACCTGATATTTGCAGTAGGATTTTAATGGGATGTATTTTGTTTTTAAATTGGCCACTGAGCACATACACAGATGAATGAGCTTACTCATGTGCTTAAAAACTAAAGCCTCCCTCACAAATGGTAGATAAGGCAAGACCATGGAAATCTCTGTGTAAGCGAACATCTACAGAGACGGTCTTCTTAAAATCCTTGGAGTCCTTCTAGGAGGTGAAGAATGGTTCCTTAGCGGGCATGCTAGCTCTGATTAAAAAAGAAAAAACAATCGTTATGGACTACATGTGTGTGTCCCTCCCAAATTCATATGGTGAAACCGTAACCCCCAATGGGGTAGTATTAGGAGGTGGGGCCTTTAGGAAGTAATTAGGTTTCGATGAGGTCATGAGAGTGGAGCTTCCATGATGAGATTAAGTGTCCTTATAAAAAGAGAAAGAGACTAGAGCTCTGTCCTGGCCATGTGGCCACGAAACGAGAAGATGGCTGTCTGCAAACCAGGAAGAAGGTCCTCGCCAGACACTGAATCTGCCAGCACCATGATCTTGGACTTTGCAGACCCCAGAACTGTGAGAAGTAAATTTCTGTTGTTTAAATCACCCAGTCTATGGTATCTTGTTATAGCAGCCCAAGCTGACTAAAACAACCAGACTTCCATTGCCCCTTGTCTGTGTACCTGCCCCACAGGAAAATCCCAGTTTGTGGTGTGCTAAAAGGCACCTACCTATACAGGTGTTCAGAAACGTTCAGGGGCCTGCCCGGTGGCGCAGCGGTTGAGTGCGCGCTCTGCGCTTCCGCCGGCCCGAGGGTTCGCAAGTTTGGATGCGCGGGTGCGCACGGTCGCACCGTTTGTCAAGCTATGCTTTATGTGGCGGTGTCCCATATAAAGTGGAGGAAGATGGACACGGATGTTAGCCCAGGGCCAATCTCCCTTGGCAAAAAGAGGAGGATTGGCATCGGATGTTAGCTCAGGGCTGATCTTCCTCACCAAAAAAAAAAAGAAAGAAACGTTCAGTCATGTAGAAGGTAACAGAGGTTCATAAATTAAGATTTTGACCACGCATCACAAGGAAGGAGAAAATTCTCAGTCTGCTGAGATTATAGAGGTTATTGCGAAGAGCAGTGCGCAAAAGTGCTATTGAGCGAAGAAGGATGAGTTCTCTTTTCTAAGATTTACAGGATCCTTTGAAAACTAGATGTGGTCCTATATTTAAAAGCACCTGTAACATAGCAGGCTCTTGAAAAAGTTGGTGAATTTCAAGGCACATTTGGTCTT